AGAAAAGACTCCGTAACAAGACTTTTAGAACTTACAGGAGAATTCAGCAAAGTGTCAGGATACAAGATCAAGATACAAAAAATCATTTGGATTCCTTCATGCCAACAAAAGAGAGCTTTGAAAGTGAAATTAAGAACACAACTCTCTACAATAGCCTCCCAAAAGATAAAACATTTCAGAATTAATCTAACTAAAGATGCAAACCATTTATACAAGGAAAACTACAAGTACTGAGAAATACACAAATGGGAAAACATACAAGGCTCCAAGAGAGAAAGATACAGCATAAAAAAGGTCAATCTGTAGATTAAAATAATCTACAAATAATATACAAACCCAGACAGAAAAACTAGCTCTCATTTTATATGGAAATTAAAAGAAATCAAAGAAGTGTAACATTACTGAAAAAAAGTAAGAGAGATGATGTCAGAAACTACTATAGAGCCAGGATAATGACTATAACAATAGATTCAGCATAGGATGATCATAAGGATGGCACAGGATAAAGGAAGATTCAGATCTGTGTTCACAAGGTTGTTATGAGTCATACTTGACTTGAGAGCATCTAATAACAACAATAACATGCATAGAAAAATGAAACAGGACTGACACCTCACACCATAAACAAAAATAAAGTAAAACTGATCAAATTTCTAAATATAAAACTAAAAACATCTTGGGACGAAAAGTAGGGATAATACTCAGAGAACTACTAGATAGCATAAGGAGAATAAAAAACCATCCAAGCACAAAAAGCCAAAGACTAACTAGACAAATCAAATCACCTCAAAAATTAAATACTTATGCTCATCAAAAGATCTCCGCAAATTAAAATCTACAGACAAGAAAAAGATTTTTGTTTATGACATAAAGGACAAGGTTCTAATCTCTAAATTTGTAGATAACGTTTAATGTCTAAATCTGTAGGTAACTTTAACACTTCAGCAACAAAGACAATCTAGTTTAAAAGCAAGCAAACTATAAGAACAGACACTTCACCAAAGAAGAGGTTCAAGAGACCAGCAAATACTTGAAGAGATTTTGGCGATCATTTAGGTGTGAGGGAAACACAAATCAAAAGTACAAGGAGATAGTGGCTAAGACTATGAATAAAAGTGAGAATCAAACAAAACCATAAACCAGAAAGTAACAAGTATTAGTGAGAGGGTGGGGAGATCAGAACTTGTAGATTGCTGATTGTTTATGGTTCAACTGTAAGCAACAGTACTTGAAAAACAACAAATAAAAACATATGATCCAGTGAGCCAACTAAGAGCTAGGAGATGAACAAAAACATATGCATATCCATACTCAATCTCTTTGCTCATATTTGTTGCTCTTAGGGTCACCATGAGTCACTACCTGATGACTACAAGAACAGATGGCAACAGGCTCAATTTGGAATTATTCATAATAGCCAAATGATGGAAAGAAACCCTCTCAGTGGTCTTCAAGAGATGAATGGATAAACAAGCTGTGGTACATGCATACAATGGAATACTGTACAACATTAAAGAATAGGGATGAATGTGTGAAATATCTCTAAAGATGGCAAGAGAGCTCACACACAGAAAAGGGGGGAAAAAATCTGATGGGTTACCAAAGATCAGAGGGGGAGGTTAAAGTTATAGATAAATATTTGGTTGTAGATATTTATACAAACATAATCATGGGTACTACAAGGCACAGCATAGGACAGGTTTCAGATTCATTGTTCACAGAGTCACTATGAGTCGCAGTAGACTTGACAGTGCATAACAATAACAACAACAACAAATGAATGCTAATATTCTAGACAACAGAGCATTGAGGGGCACAGTAATAGAATCTTAGACTTAATCAAATATCTCTGGGGTCAAGGATAATAGACTTCAGGGGCATCCATGTCAATTGGAACAATATAGTTCTTAAAGCCAGTGTTCTGTATTCTATCTTGCTGAGGAGCATCTGAGGTCTTAAAAGCTTGCAAGCAGTCATGTAAGATATAACTATTACTCTCCTCATCATAAACCACAACCTCTATGATCCTAAGACCAGATGGATTAGATGATGCCTGGCTACCAGTACCAACTGCTCTCTCTGGAATCCTAGCAGAGAATCCCAGACAGAGCATGGGGGGGAAAAAGTTGGAAAAAAAAATTAAATTCAAAAAAAGGCTTATTCATGAAACAGAGACTGAGTGAACCTTTGAGTCTATAGCATTAAGACACCCTTCTTGACCTGGAATTGAAGAAGTTCCTAGAACCTACTTTTCAGATCGACAATTGACAGATAAAATCAACAATTCCCTAGAGGAATATATTCCAAGAACAATTATCTAAAGCCAAAAGGACAATATTTGCCCAAAGCAAAGACAAGAAGGCAGGAAGTGGTAAAAAATTCAGGCAAAAGGAAGCAAGGAAACCAAGTAGGAATGTGGAGATTGTGGGGAAACAATGTGAGGAATACACATCCTGAGTGTGTCCAGCAACATCTTTATCTAACAAAAACAAAAAAGTGAGTAGAGGAAGAGGTATCTCAGTAATACCAAGAAAGGGCAGCCAGGAATACAGATCATCCTTTGGACCTAGGGTCCCTTCCTGGTGAAGCTCCTAGATCCAGGTAAAGACCGATGCAAGATACATGGAGGTTGCCAGGGAATGCAGGGCCTATCAAGCCTGAGAAGGAAACAAGGGGGAAATGGGATTTCTTAAAAATTAACAGAGAAGAAAGCCTTTCCTTAAAGCTGACATCCTTAATTTGGGCATCTAGCCTCCTAAGCAAGGAAACAATACATTTCTGCTGGTTAAAGCCATTCTCTTGTGACATTTCTATTATAACAGCACTAGATATTTATTGAGAGATAGACACACATAAATATGTATGTGTTGTTACTGTTGTTGTTGTTGTTGAGTGTCATCAAGTCATAGATGACTTATAACGACCCTATGAACAAAAGACCTGAACACTTGTATAACTTTGGTCACTTATCCATGTTCATAAAGTTTCCAGAGGCAAGTCATTTCGGAAGTGGATGCCACTCCTACTTCCAAGCTTGTTTTAATCAGGAAGCTCTACTAAACACTGCCCACGATGGGTAACCATTATTGCATTTGGCACATCAGTATCACAGTGTTTAGCATCACAGCAACCACAAGTTACCTCTGTACAGCAATGCCCAGACCAGTGCTATACCACCTAGAAGAATGTTTGACAAAAAACAATCTAAATCAGGTTTGAGGGCCACAGATTCAAACCACCCACCTTGCCTTGGTAGAATAACTTTCTGTCCACTAGGCCAACAGAGCTCTCTCTATGTTGTCATTGTTATTGTATATATGTATGTATGTATGTCATATATATGTATATATCATGTATGTATATACTATATATATCATATAGGTATATACATATAGGCAATATAAATATGTGTATATATTGTTTATGTGTATATATCAGTGTGTATGTGTGTGTATATATATATATATATAGAGAGAGAGAGAGAGAGAGAGAGGAGAGAGAAAGAGAGAGAGAGAACACACTACATATTGGTTCAACCCTCTGTCTAGCACTATGCTGTATTGTGATGGTTTATATGCTGCTAGAATGTCAGAAGCTATGCCACTAGAACTTTAAATACCAGTAGTGTCACCCAAGGTGGACAGGTCCCCATGAAGTTTCTAAATGAAAATAAACTACGAAGAAAGGCTTGGTGATCTACTTCTAAACACTAGCCAATAAAATTTACTGTATCACAACAAAACCTTATTTAATCAAGTGCTAGAAGATAGTTCTTCTAGGTTGGAAGGAACTCAAAATACACAGTGGATGCAACAACGGACCAAGCATATCAACCATCACAAAGACACCGCAGAACAAGGCAATGATTCATTATGTTTTACATGGGGGAGCCAAGAGTTGAAGTCAGCTCAAAGGTAACGGTAACTAACAACAACAACATAACCATTGTCTCTAAGCACTAACCATTCAGAGGTGGGGGGGGGGAGGAACCCAGCAAAGCCAGGGTAATTCTTAGTAATATAAACTGTGGTTGCAGACAAGTGAAATAAACAAACCTGTTCCCATGTGAAAGCTGTCTTTCAACTGTCATTAAAGCCCACTTCTCTAAGCCTGATTGGCTCTTACAACACTTCATAATAGATTTCATGTCTTGGTGAATCCTGTTTATCATATATTGGAACTAATTTGACATTGACATCACAAATAACCATCTTTCAATGAAACGTTTCAGAAATCTACCTCAAAATCATATGCATTCAAGGAAGACAAAAATGACAATTTGCTACTAAATCTAGTTAAGTGTTTCTATTTGGGGATGATATCCAGCCTGTTTATAGGTCTGTATGTAATCAGCAAAATAGTTTTGGGTAGCTATCAGAATAAGTCATGCTTAGAAAGAACCTTCTAGAAATCAGTTATGGGTGGGAAACAAAACAGGAAGGATAAATTGGTTCTTGTCAGCTCAATGCCTTCTTGTTTCATCTTTATGACCAGCAATCAAGCAGTGCTCAGGTGAAAAGGTGGAAGTGGGGTGAGGGAACTGAATAGTTACAGCTATTCAGTTTAATAACGCTAGAAGTAAAATCCCTCCTAGATTATTAATAACATTTTTGTTTATATATTTTGTTTTAGTCTCTGTGGCTTAGAATATCATTACCAATAAAAGACATAAATCATTTGGTCCTTTTTAAAACCTCACTAGACCAGTGATCTTCATAATTTCTCATAGCAACAAATCCCAATGGAGACATCTATAAGCATCTTAAATGCAACACTGTGATAAGGTTATGTCAACTTAAAATATCTGTAGCCATGTAGGATGAATCCATCCTACAGCCCCAGAAACAAAATGTGAATAAAACTTAAAAGAAAAAAAGTCAAGCAAACCAGTTTGTTATATAAGCAACCTGTCTCAAAGTAACACTTTATCACCGGTTTTCCTGTTGTTTATAAACGCAGAACAGAAAATAGCACACACATTATTAAATGAATAAACTTACTTTCAGTGCAAATAGGGCAACATCCTTTCCTGTTGAGAATTTTACCCTAATTGAGAGGAAAAACAAGTAACAGGTTAGTAAGAAGAAATACAGTCTGCTGGGGACAACTCTCATTTTTTCAATCTAATACCAGATAAACCAATAAAACCCATTCAAGCTGTATCTGAATGCAAAGTGCAGATGGAGATGGTGATGATGAGGAAGTTTCAAGTATCAAGTTCTAAAGCCACGTGAAGATAGTCAAAAAGCTTTCTTTTTAGGGTGTTTTTCCCCCTTCTTCAAGAAATATAATCCCTAATAGGACTCACTAGTGAGATTTTTCTCACATGGAGGGAAGATGGAAGCAATCTGGTCTCAAGCTTTTCACTGATATCCAAATCCAGGGCTCTGGAGACCGAGCACATATATGAAAGCAGGAATGTTGTCTGTCAACCTACCAATCCAGCAGGGCTTTCGGATAGGGGAACCGAAACAATAAACCTCAATCTGGACTCAGACTCATCTGGTCACACGGCTATGTGGAGATTAAATTCAGTCAGATTTTTTTTCCCTCTTCTAGTGAGTAGTATGTTATCCATTTTAAGTCATTTTATCCAGTCAAAGCCAATGTAGCTGAGGGCTTTAAAATGCTGAATAATTTTCCATTACCTTTCTGGAAATACTGTGCAATCTCCTACTTTGTATTTAATTTCTTTTGAATATGTGACATTTAAAGGAGGAAGCCTGTTCTGTAGGCCCTTATCAGAGAACGGTATTGTCTTCTCCCTGACTCAATAGTTCACTACATAAGAAGATATGTGGGAGATGATTATGTAAACCAATCAAACACCCAATTACTCATTCCAGTCATTTTAACAAACAGTGGATAGCTTGCAGAATTAAAGGAGATAACAGAATATGTTGGGTTTAATCAATATCACATATTACTGTGATGATTACTAAGGGCAAAGAAAAAAACTTGCAGAGAGTCCTTGATGGTTGCACAACACAATAAACATACCTATCACTGTTTTGTTGTTATTGTTTGCCATCTAATGGGATCAACCCTTAGCTGACCTTCAGAAGCAGTAAATCGCATGGGAGAAGACTGCCCATCCTTCTCCCAAGGACCAGGTAGTGGATTCAAACTGTGTGCCTTTGAGATTGCAATCAAGTTTCTTGCCAGTAGGTTATCAGAGCTGTACACAAAAGTGGTTGGAATGACAAATATCTCATGTATAGTTTGTGGTGGTTGTTGTTGTTAGATGCTGTCAAGTCATGTATGACCCATAAGGACTCTATGAACAAAAGATCTGAACTCTGTTCTACCCTGTGCCATCCTCACACTTCCTGACACACAAGAACCCACTGCAGCAGTCACTATGTCAGTCCTCCTTGTCGAGGTTCTTCCTCTCCTTTGCCTTCCTATCATCATGTCCTTCTCCAAGGAATAGTACCCCGCAGCAACATGCCCAAAGTATGTGAGGCAAAACCTCATCATCCTTGCCTCCAAAGAGCACTCCAGCTGCACCCTCTCCAAGACTTACCTGTTCATTCTCTTCACTGTCCATGGGATGCTCAGTGCTCATTTCTAACACTACAGCTCAAAGACGTCAACTTTTCTTCTATTACACTTATTCACTGCCTATTCTCAAATGCATAGCTAGTAATCAGAAAGACTATGGTCTGAATCAGATACACCTTAGCCCTCAAACTGTCCTCATTATTCCTCAATAATCTGGAGAGGTCTGTAACTGCAGATTTTACCAGTGCAATGCATCTCCTTATTTCCTGACTTGTGGTACTAAGGGCATATTTTACCAAAATGAAATAGAAACACTTGCAGCACTCTTAGAAATATTTCCCTTGATATAGATAAAGAAATTTATTTCCTACAGCACAAAATGGTAGGTGCAAAATCAAACCTAAATTTGTGTGACTATGAAGGCCTTGCTTCTTCCACACTAGATTTTTATCCTATTAAGAAGGGATCTTTCACCTCTTAAAAGAGTTTAATATATCCTGAGTATTTGCTATGCATTAGAAAGAGCAATGCATATTCTATACACTTGATCTCATTTAAATTTCATAATCTTCCTCGTTCTTTGCAAAAACAAGAGTCATATCTGGTATGAGGTTTTTTGGCAATAGTTAGGCCTAAATTGACTCACTAAAGGTTACAATAAATTTGAGTAAGACTTTAAACTCAGCGTCATTCAGCTGTCTCATGGGTGGGACATTATAGCATATTTTTACTGTCCAGAGCACTAAGATGCACTTGATCCAGGCCATGGTCTTCACAATTACTTTATATGCATCAGAGAGATGGACAATGACTAAGGATGAGAGAAGAAGAACCAATGCCATGAGTTGTGGTGCTGGAGAAGAGTCCTGAGCATACCTTGGGCTGCCAAGAGAACAAACAGGTCTGTTTTGGAGAGTGTAAAACCAAGTTTCTCTTCGGAGGCTAGGCTTTTGAAGCTCCATCTCACATATTTTGGGCATGTGGCCAGGAGGAACTGATCCTTGGAGAAGGGTATTATGGTTGGAAGGGTGGAGGGACAGTACAGGAGAGAAAGACCCTCGGATGAGATGGATAAGTAACTAGGATAATGGGGGTAGATGTGTCATAGTCAGTGAGATTGGCTCAGGACAGGACAGGCTTCTATGAGTTGCAAATAAGTCAATGGCATATAACACCACCAATAACAAAGCACTTATGGAACACTGATGACATAGTAGGTTAAGTGTTGGGCTACTAACCAAAAGATGAGCAACGTGAACTCTTTAGCTATTCCATGGGCAAAAGAGAAGACAGTCTCCTGTTAAGATTTACAGGCTCAGAAACTCAAAGGATGGTTTCCATGAATCAGAACTGGATCCGTGTCAATGAGCTCGGTTTCTGGTTTGATAGTTCTATTGTCTATTTCCATTTACTATATGGGTGTTTTTTGGATTCTAATGCCTGAAAGTAAATGAGGACAAAGCCAAATCAGATTATTTCAGGCCCATTAAATGACCAAAAGCATCCAAAGGTGTGGTGAACTAAAGATGCAAATGGTGTAGAGCTATTGAAAATCAAAGCTACAGGGAGCTCTGTGGCATAGTAGCAGGAAGCTGCACTGCAATCTCAGAGGTGCATGGTTCAAATCCACCAGATGCTCTGCTGGAGAAGGAGGGACAATCTCCTCCTGTACCAGTCAGATCTGATTTGATGGTACAAACACACACAAATAATAAAATAAAAATTTTTTAAAAAGAAAATCAAAGCTACCACAAAATATGAAAATATGATTCCCTATAGCTTTACCTGCCCAGAATTAACCAGTTCTCTTCTTCAAGAAAATGAGATAGGAGCTGATGGGAATCTTGAATTAAATGGACAACAAGCTATAGGTTATGAATTCAAACTACCTATGTTATACTTAAGTAACTGGTACTCTGGGCATACTGTACTCTAGTCTCTGGCACATGCCTAGTACCTGCACCTACCTCTAAGGACTGGTGTCAGCCATTAATGAAGTGAGCCGTACCACTGTAGACAAAGCCTCTGTGTGTGTGTGTGTGTGTGTGTGTGTGTGTATGTGTTAGCAAAGATGGTATGACAGTGTCATAATGACCTAGTTCCCACTGAAACGCTCACAACCCTTCTCACAAATGACTCTCCTTGGCCTCTTGGGGAGTTGGCAAAGAGACTGGAGAAATCCAGCCATAAAATTCTTGTTCATCAAGACACACATACTTCTGGAAAAAGAAGTGTGTAGTAGCCAGGAAGGCCAGAACAAAGAATACAGGCTGCTGTTTGAATTTTGATTTTCATTTTTTAATCTCCTCAGGCAATGCAAGGGAGGACAGGTAAGTATTTAACAGGCTTCCATGATCAAAGAATCTCTCAAAGACCTAGTGCTTCTCCTGAGAAGGGAAAGTGTGAATGGGAGGAATGGTGGGAATATTGCCTAGAAGCACAAAGGTGGCAGGGCACTGACTAACTTTAACAAGGCATGGAGCAGTGGGGAGGGAGGACTGGATGCTTCTGGTCCAAATGTGGTCCACAAAATGAAACACTAATGAGATGTTAGTGACATTCAAAGTATTGACCTCCTCACAAAAGGCAACAGGGCAATAAAACCCATCCACCTCACTATAAGTGGCAGGATTCAAGTGAAGCTGGAAGCTCTACATCGGCCTGCAGAGGCTAGTTCCTTGAACCACCAGGCTGGCACACCACCCTGTTTTTGTCTTGTAGAATAAGGAAGCCCATTATTACTAACATGTGCTGCAAGAGTTCATTAGCACTGAAGGTTCCCCAAGGACTGGCATAGATGATGTGATTCCATTTTTCCCAATGAATATTTATAAGCAGACCATGTTCAAATCTATTTATTGTCTATCCTTTCTTTTTTTTTCCTTTTATGTGAGGTTTTATGTCTGAGGTTTTTTAAAGCAAGACTAATTAGGGTTCTTTTTTCCCCTCTTTTTTTCCCTCTCCTTTATTCAGTTGTGCAATAGCAACAGCTGTTGTTTTTTTGTGCCTCATTTGGCACTCAAGTAAAAACAGCAACTTTTTGCTTGTAATAATAACAGATGTGAATAAAATTAAAAGCTGCCTATATCAGAGAGAGGAGGACATGTTTTGAATATATGGATATGTTTTTTAATTCACTGGAAGGTACTGAATAGATGTGACATTCTCCCCAAATGCACAAAACCTTGAATGATTTCAAGCTGAAGTGAATTCAGTGAAGCTCATAATGGTCGCTTTATTCAGCGTGCGGGAACTATGGGTTTCTGAAAAGAGGCATTTCCATAAAGATTCTATTTACATCTGGGGCTACAATGCACAACAGAGCCAGAGAGGAGTGATCTAGTCAAGGGGTTACAAGTGGTTGCTAGAAGGATCAAGTTCATGGGAATTTACTTATAAACAACCACATAATGAATTGAGTGTTTGGCCTAGAGACTACGGAGTTGTGCTAAAAATTAAGGCAGTTTGAATCCACCAGCTACACCATGGGATACAGAGGGGTAATCTCACTCCATGAGATTTACAGCTTCCCAAAGCCTGCTGGACGGGCAGCGAGGAGGTGGTTCTGACCTAACAGCAAAGAGGGAACATTTGCTGTTTTTGTTTATTTTATTATACTGAATGGCTCTTAGGAGAAAACTCTGATTGTAGAAGAGAAAGGAAGGGGGGGGGGAAGCAACAGGTAGATAGACTATCAAATAATAAAGTCAATAAAGGAACTTAAAGGAAGCAGGAGTTGTGTGCTGTCGAGTCAAAAGTAGACCCTCCAGTAGCTTTTCAGAGGCTATATCACAAGCGAGGTGACTGTCTGCCTTTCTCCTGTGGAGCTACTTACGGACTCAAATCGTCTGCCTTCGGCTTGGCAGTACAACTCCTTACCACTAGGTCATCACAGGTCGCTATCATAGGGGGTGGTGTTCTTGCTCTTGCTAAGTGCTGTCAAGTCCAGGATGTATCGAAGCAACATGAACCCTGTCCTCTCCTGTGCCATCCTCATCACCTCTAACACACCTGAGCCCACTGCCACAGCCACTGTGTCAATCCATCTCATCAAGGGACTTCCTCTTTTTCGCCATCCCTCCACCTTTCCAAGCATGGTGTCTCTCTCCAAGGTATAGCCCCTTCTAGCAATATGACCAAAGAATTGTGAGATGATGCTTTGTCATATTTGTCTCCAAGGAGCACTCAGACCACACTCTCTCTAAGACATATCTTGTCCTTTTGGCATTCCGTGGGATATTCAGTACTCTTCTTCAACACCACAGCTCAAAGGCATCAAGTCATTGTGGCTTAGTGGAAAGGAGTTACATTACCAACCCAAAGGTACACAGTTCAAATCCAACAGCTTCTCCATGGGAGAAAGATGGGCAATATCCTCCTGTGTGATTAATTGTATCTGAAAACCAGCTAAAGGGTCAGCTATGGGTTGGTTCTGATAGCAGGAGATAAAGATGTTAAAATAAAAACTACTGGCAATCATCCAGGAGTACAGGAGCTGTAACTAAAACAACATGAGAACTATTATCCTTCCAAGCTAATCTTAATAAAATGACAGACAAGCTTTGCAAAAGTTATTTAGCTATTTGGGAAGTTGAGGAGTTTGAGGGCTCTGTATTCAAAAGATGACCTGGGGCCAATGGCATGCACAAGGTGATTCCCAAGACATCGTGGTAAAGAGAAAATCAAGCTGTACCTGAGGGCAGCTGCTGATGGGGACACACTGCTTCTTGCGACACTCTATCTTGCCTTTCACACAAGCACAGATGGTACAATTGACAGAGGACCACATCTCTCCATCCTGCAAACAAAGCATAGAATTCACTATTAGTGAAGCAGATGGAAGCTAATCCAGCCCACTGCCACTTCTCTGGGGAGGAAAACCTTCCTTACACTGACTGAGTTACACTATTGTTAGACTGAGACACTCAAGTGTGCATCTATACCAATCAGCTTTCAGATGAAAAGGACTGGGGATTTGGGTGTTTGCCTGAGCACGTTTGTCTCCATATGTGTGCATGCATGAGAGTGTGTGCCTGTGTGTGCACGTATGCATGCCACTGTATGTGTGGGTTCATGTTCCCCATTAGGGCTATGGAAAGAATTGTCTGGTCAGGCCATATTTACATCTCGCTTCTCATGCTCTGTTTACTTATGTTTACCCTGAGAGAGAAAGACAGAGTCCTAAATGAATTTTCACACATGCTACAAAAACAAAATTTCATTTTCTCTAGCTTGCTAGAACTGAAATGTTTATGCTTTTGTGGGAACCAGCAATTAATTGAGATGTCCAGAAGTGATTCGTTGCCTTTTTTTTCCCTAGAGATGGCATTGTTCTGGACCACAGAGGACATGAATATGTAACAACAGTCTAATTAAAAAGAGTCCTAGTGCCCAGGAAGACAGCTGATTTGTAAGCTATCTAAATTGTTGAGCTCATATTACAGAGTACTGCAAGTGTTACACTGATAAGGTGCTCTCCTCTCAAAATGCTTTACACAGGCTTTTGCTGAGCCAGAAAATACTGTGTGAGAAATTTATTTGGTTCATTGCATTTATAATCTGCATTTTCCAAATACCCAGGCAGCACCAGGAGACCTGTGGCTCCAGAGACATGCCAGAATACACGTCCTTGTGGGTGGGAGTGATGACAGGCAACAGAGCTGAGCTTGAAACCAAACAAGAACTCTTGCATTTATGGATCTATGAAACAGATTTGGCTAAAGACAGAGAAACAAATAAGATCCTTGACAACAAGTTTTCCCGCATTTTTGAAGCTATAATAAGGACTGACTACTTTCAGAATTTTTGTCATGGCAAAAAGCTCCAATCATAAAAATCATCTTAAAGGATACCTACCTATTGCACATTCTTTGGTCAACTATTTCCAGCAATCATTGTTCCAAGGATGACTCTGTAGATTATGTGACGCCACAGTCATTTTAAAGGAACTTTCTCACAAGGAGCCTGGGGAGTGTTCTGTGCACAACTCAAGCTGAGAGTGAGTCTGTTTCCTCAGGGTATCCTGGAGACTGCGGATGACTTCAGATGACAGAGGAGTGGCTCTCAAAGCTGGTGTCCCCCTTACCTTGGGCACATCGTGTCACTTGCTCATGGTTTCCATAAAACCTAAACATTCCTGCTCCCTCTGTTATGAAAGCAGGACACTTGGGTAAATCAGCATGCTTTAGGAGCTTCCACCTCTGGGAGTATTCAAAGGGCCTCAGGTCAAACTGCCATCAAGCTTTCCTTCTCCCAAAATAAAAATGACCCCTTTTCTTCAGATGTTGATGAACTATTTGTGAGGAGCGGGACTAGGTAAGAGGCACTTTGGACAAAGTCAACAATCCTGCACCTTAATCTTAAATTGATCACTCTACAGTTTCCTTCTAAAAGGACGCAGGAAAGAAGGTAAATCACACCTGGATAGGAGGCCCTATCAGACGGTGAGCAGATAGCTCTCTGGGTTTTGTTGGCACAACGCATGCTCAGTTATGCTCACCTGCTATGCTGACCACTTACTCCAGTCACGAAAAAACCCACCTGAATATCTGCCAGATGGGAAAGTCTCACTTTTTGAAAAGGTTGTGGGGGTGTTGTCGTTACGTACCATCAAGTTGGAGCTGACCCATACCTGACTCTCCAGCGGGTTTTTAGAGTCAATAAATTGCACAGCAGGAGACTGACTGCTCATCTTTCTCCCATGAAGCAACTTGTAGATTTGAACTACATGCTTTAAGGGTTAGCAACATGGCTCCTTAACATTCAGCCACCAGAGCTCCTTATTTTGAAAAGGTAGCTTTGTAAATGCTTCTAAAAGAGCAAGCCTATAAAACCCCTGGGACTTTGACAGGGTCATCGCCCTGACAAGGATCACTGAGCAGTTCCCACTGACTTAGCAGCTCTTGCAGCCACATCATCCATGGTGCATCCTTTTCAGCCCAACTCTAATCACAGGGCAGGCAGATTTTGAAAAAGCAATTTTTATAGTTCTAAAAAATATTTCATAAAAAGTAAACAGGGGGAGCAAACGGTTTTCAAATAACCTTGCCCCTAACTGCACTTAATTCTCTCTATGAGCAATCTTCTCCAATTCGATTAAATGCCTCTCCAAAACCTGCCACAGGGTCAGCTATGGGTCAGTTCTTACTGTACAGTGCTCAACAACAATGTCACTCACACACACACACACACATCTAAAATATCTCACACACACATACCTAAAACAAAGGTGGGGGGAAGCCATCAAAATTGCATATGGCATTTGTTAAAAGACAATATGATATTTCACATGAGCTTGGTTTGTGACGTACCCGGAAAATCTTGTTGCCGAACTTGCATACTTTAATGTCGCCAAGAGGCACCCTGAGGAGACACTGCTCACAGCAGGCCTCCTTGCCTCTCTCACAGCCACCGTGGCGGGAACACTTCTTCTTACACACCACTGTAGAGTCCTGGGGGGCCCAAAAGCAAAGTAGACATTAAAACTGAGTGCCACCCCTACCAGGCATCTTAATTAGCCTTCCTTAACAGATCACCACCATCTGACTCCTTTAAAACCTATTTTATAGATGTCATATTTGAACTTATTCCAGTAAGTCATTTATACATTAAAAAATTTATTTGTTGATTTGCCAGACCTCATTGATGAAGAGTTTGATATATATTCTCTACCTTTCAAAGGTTCCTCATTTAATGCTGAAGAAGAGTTATTACGTATGATCCTGTTCTAGACACTGTGGCAAGAAGGCCCAGTTACGATGGGCCACCCTGGTGCCTTCTTTCTCTTCTTTGTACCTTTTCATAACCTGTACTAACGATTTTCCTTGGGGTCTCCTCCATGGTTTTGTGCTACCTTGCAGTAGTTGGGCAAAGAGATAGAATATTTTTTATTAAATAGTAAAATTTAAGAGTTGATGGTTTATTTCAAAATGGAATTCTTTTACATGCTGTGTAACTAAAGCACCAAAGGAACAAACTAAGCCTGGGAGAGTCTCAGGGTTCTGCAAAAGTGTGTGACCTTTACCAGGTCACATCAGCCCTGAGTGCAACAGGTGTAAGTACGCATCTTTAACTTAAAAACTCATGGGTAATTCCTAAAAGAACTTCAGGGTATCATCTTCAAAAGTAGATACTAGACCATCTACTTCTGATGATATGGTTAAATTTATATAAAATAATTACCATACAGTAATTATTATAAATTCATTCACAATGTTGAAATAAATCCTTTATTTACATGCTTCTAGTGGAAGAAAACAAGGGTGCTCACAAATTAGCAAATAAAGAATCCATTAAACTGTGCATACAACACGAGGTGAAGCAATGAAAATACAGAGATGGGTATACTTCTGCCTTCACGGGACTCACTGTGTAAGGTAAGAAGGAGAGAATTATGTAAGCAAATAAATTGTATTATATATGAAAAATAAAATCATTCGTGTTGTGGTGTAAGAAAGAAGACATAACAATTAGCTATCTATATAGGTCAGATACCTAGTGATATACAGTAAGTTAAGTGTTGGACTGCCAGCGGAAAGATTGGCAGTTCGAATCTACCAGCTTCTCTGCAGTCTCTTCTCATTAAGATATATGGTCTTGGGAATCTGATGGAGGGATTGCCTTGTGTTAGAACTGACTAGATATTAGCTCATGGATAGGTGAGTCAGAAAGCCTCTCTGGAGAAGATAACATCTTAGGCTCTTGTGGATAAAGAGGAGTTTGCTAATTTAGATTTGCAAATTAGAAGAAGGTGAGAATACTGCAGATAGAAGAATCGGCAAATCCCAAGCTGTAAAAAGATGCCATCTTTTGAGAATGATGAGACCTGTGCCTGCAACGTACACTGTGAGGAGCACGGGAGAGAGGAGCGCTAGACAGAAAACTACTCTGAATTACCCACTATGGTTGCAGCCTGGTTCTTCAAGCACTCAATCTCTCAAAGATAGCTGTGAATTCATCTTATGATAAAGCAAGCTTTTGATGGTATAATTAATTACACAGCTTAATGAGCAACAGCACACGATGCCTATTCATCTCTAAGAAGATCCATTCATAACTTAATTCCCATCCACTGTGTGTTTGGCTTTCTTGCCATCAAGGGGTGTAGGAAAGTGATATGCTCCATTAAAGACTCAGTTCCACCATGAAGAAACTGCAATCTGTGATACTCCTACAGAGAAAGAGAAGACTTGAAGAGGAAAGCAAAGCCAGCAGAAGTTGTGGTAATGTTTAGCAAAGGATAATGGACGACAGGGGAGGGAAAGGTGCCTGAGGAACGTATCCACAGGCTAAGGAAATCCTCTGAGTTTCCTGCCAAGGAACAGAGGGTTCCCCCTTACCCAGTCAGCCTGTGAAGTCGTAGAGCATTCTACAGAGCAAATCATGCCTCTGGTAATCACACAATTCTGAATCCCAATTGCAGCCACTGATTCGTAACTGACTGAACAACTTTCCTCCTGATTCCTCTCTAGTTCTTTACCTATTAAAAACAGAACCACCATCGCCACCAATATGCACCAAACTGCACTTCTGTCATACCAATGTGGATGAACTCATTACTGAGGGGTTGGAAGTTCTCTGTTTAAATGCTAAAACATGGGTGCGTCAATACTGTTGCACAAGCAGTATATGAATGTGTGGTATGTGTCTTTTACACATCAGAAATGACAGAATTATTTCTTTACGAGGCATTAGACTACCAGGTGCCTTGAGAAGAAAATGAGATAAGCCTCACATGAGAAACAGCACAGTGAGCGTCATGTAACTATTGTCTTCCTAAACTCATGTTTATTTTTGTAGTGCACTACAAATCTGTGCTGTTCAATTCTCTTGAATGTAATGAAAGCCATCTTCATTGTCAAGTGTGCCAACAAAGCTGCCTTGGATAATTACAGCCCAAGAACAAGACCTCATGTATTCGCTTTGAGAAAATTCTTCAAGACTACTCCAGGAGATCATGTGTTTGTCCTCAGTGAGCTACTATTTGAGCCACACAGATAGATTTCCTTGAGTATGATTTCACTCACAGAACAGTGGTTTTTGTTGCATGTTGTCAAGTAGGAATGGACTCATAGCTGACCCTCCAGTAGTTTTCAGAGTGAAAGCAGAGTGGAAGATTATTCATCCTTCTCTCATGGAGCAGCTGGGGGATTTGAACCTGGTGTCTTTGGGATTGCAGTGCAGTTTCTTACCACTAGACCACCAGAGCTCACTACAGAATGGTTGCTGTGTGCCATCAAGTTAGAACCGACCCATAGCTGACCCTCCACAAGTTTTCAGAGGAAGTTAATTGCACAGGAGACTGCTAACCCTTCTCCCATGGAGCAGCCGGTGGATTCGAACCATGTGCCTTCAGGATTGCAGTGCAGCTTCTTATCACTAGGTCACCACTGGCTTATTGAGTTCATCTTGAAAATGGCAGGGCTAATGCTGCTTCCCAATAGCACGTCATCCCCTCTGGCTAAACTGACAAGCAGTCACAGTCTGGCAGCAGCCCTCCGGGGCTGCCTTACCTTGCAGATGCATGTTGTACAGTTATCATAGAGAAATGAGGATCCATTGTCATAGACATCACTGCGAAAGAGGCAGCTCCCGAAGGGAAGGTCGAACACTTTCCTCTGACCTAGAGGGAAGCAAGAACACAGCAGAGGCAAGGTTAGGAATGTCCCATGTAATTGAACAGCAATTACAGCACAGAGCTGACAGCATTGTCACAAATCCTGGTATATCAGGTGCACAAAAATAAGTATTCCACTGCTTGGAATATATGCTGAGAGAATGAGCACTGAGACACAAATGGAGACTTGTACACCACTGTTCATAGCAGCACTAGTCACCATCATAAGAACATGGAAACAGCTCAGATGTCCAACTACAACTGAATGGCTTGAGAAATTATGGTACAGTGGAATACTACACAGCAGCAGGAGTAAGGATTTTGTTGATTACTACCTAACTTGGGAGGAAATAGAGAGCATTATGCTTAGTGAATTAGCTCAGTCCTACAAGGACAAATACTGGATAAAACCATTATTGTAGAATGACTATGAAGATCCAAAGGGAGTATGGGCAGGGGTTGGGGTGATCATAGGGTCACACGATTTGCTTGGTGGGGGTGATGGTGAAGGAAATGGAAAAGATCTGGTGTGAAAAACAATGTGTTAGAACTTTATAAGTAAACCAGTATAAAACATAAAAAAATATATTAATAATAGCTCTAGATCAGATGTTCCCAAAGGGATTCCCAAGAGTTATTCATTTAGAGTTTTGGTTATAAGAGTTTAATCAACACATTCACCCCTATATGTCAAAAAAAAGCCTTTAAGAAGTGCTCACTATAGTGAACCATTGTACACAACAGTCCTCAAAGAGAATCCACCAACCAGGGAGAAACATCAACCAAAGGCCTTCAATGAACTGATGTGGTGAACACTTAGGAAAAAATAAACCTCAAATCCAGAGAAAGGGAGGTCTCATAAGACTTGTGAAACTTGGGCTGCATCTTAAATGCCAAATAAAATTACCCATAAAGTGGGTATCGGTGGGTGAAGTGAAGGAAGCATCAATACTTCTTAAGGAAGAACTAGAGTAAGCAAGGAGGAACTGATGCAGAAGTGTCCTAGCCATGGAAATAGCATAGTGGTCTGTGCAGTTAGGCTAACTCAAACACAACCAATCAGGCATCAAGCTGTTCCTAGATATTTTCTCCCAGGTAAATGGCATGAGATGGTAAATGATGGTAAAACGGCATCAGTAATGCCTCTTCCTAATAATCCATAACCACCTCCAGCTACAGTATTTCCAAATCTTGGTTAGCAAATAGTTACCCTCTCCATCTTACAAGTGTGACTATCTTGACCAAGGTAAGTCTTCTTTGCTCTCACCAGGTCCTGAGATACTTAAATGTCCTGAGAATTTAAATCCTAAATTAGAGGTTTGCCTGAAAAAATCAAAAGTCCATCTTTCCTTATGTTTTCTCTCTTACAGTAAATAGTCATTGTAAAGCATGAGAAAACTATGGACAGCTTAAATAATATGATTAGACTATTCTACTAAGTCACTTCAGTTGAATTAAAACTATGACTATAGCACATTAGAGTTTAAGAAATAGTACTAAGCAATTCTGTTTTTCTATTTACTATAGAAATGACAGTGAAGTCTTTTTTACCGTTATAAACACTATCATCTTTATATCGATCAAAAGATGAGTTTTTCCCTCTTTAATTAAAAAAAATATGCAGCATGCAGGAGTAACAATTTTGTAAATTACTACCTAACCTGGGAAGGACTTGAGAGCATTATACTGAGTGAACTAACTCAGTACCACAAGGACAAATACTGTATAGAACCATTATTGTAGAATGAGTATGAGGATCCAAGGGGGGGAGGGTAGAAGCAGAGGGGTGTGAATGTAGGGGGGAGGAGGAAGGACTAATCACGTGGTTGCACAATTTGATGTGTGGGGTATTAGGGAAATGGAAAGGAAGTGGTGTGAAAAACAATTATTCAAATTTTTAAATATACTAGTTTTAAAAATAAAATTAGTTTTGTTCTTTATTTGTAACTAGGCAGGGAGAAAAGTGCAACAATGAATGAATCGAAATCCAAAATCTCTGTAAATTTTCATTAAAATTATTAATAATAATAACAAACTAAAAAAAGAAATATTGAGCAAAAAAACCCCCAAAAAACCCACAAAAATATTATGGCATTTTGCTTTATGTTTTCTTATCTTTTATCTATATGGGACTCACGTAAATCCCTTTCAGCAAAAGACAGAAAAAGGGGTAAAGGAGGCATAGTCAATTGTCTCCTGTCCTTCAACCAAAATATGCCTTCTTTACAGCTTCTGCAACTTTTCATCTCTTAAACGGAATGTACCTTCATATGTTCCGACTTTGCTCTTCTTTTATAACTGGTATAGCACTAAATAAGAAACCATATTGGTATATGTAGTGTTGTAAACTGAAAGTCCAAGGGTTCAAATCCACTAGGGACTCTATGGGAGGAAGTTGGGCAGGCTCTTCTCTTGACCAATTATATAGCCTCAGAGACCTGATAGAGGGTCACCAGGAGTCAGAACTGACTCCAGCACTGGCTCGGGTGTTTTACCGCTCTGAAGACTACTGCCTGAATGAATAAATGCTCAAACTAACAGACACTTTAACAGAACACATGTGCCCAATGGCATAAATTATTCTTCGATGAAACAAATTTTGCAGGAAAAAAATAATAGTGGAAAGCTCTTAGCACAGTACTTGCACTAGGTAAATGTTCCCATTAAGTGGCAGATAACAAGCATTATCATTATGTTGTCAACTGCTATCAAATCAGCACAAACTCATGACCACACTTGGTGCATCAGAATGAAACACTGCCCAGTTTTACGTCATCAACACGATGGGATAACATCAGACTGTGGTAAACTCTACGTTTCTTCTGGTTTCAGAAAGAGTTCACCATGTCAGTCCCAGTTCAGACTGGGAAGAGTCTGTAAGCTCTGTCAAAACTTATTCAACATTACAGCAGCACACAAGCCTCCAAGGATAGAAAAGTGGTGGCTGTGCCAGAGATACAATGGCCAGCAACTGAACAAACCCATGTCTCCCACGTTTGAATCTCTGAGCCACCACTCCATCGGGCCATACTATCATTAGAGGGGTAGTTACTGTTGATAGACGCCTGACAGTCCATGAAACTCTGCCTGATCCTGTATCATCTTCACATTTCAAAACAGAACCTAAGGTTAGGTCACCCTGAGAGGTCTCTGGACTCTCCATGTACAGTTGAAATGAGGATCAAAATAAGAGAATGTTGTAATACAAACAATGGAGACATGCTATGTGAACTAGTTCTCAGCAAGGGGAAATCAACAGCAAATCTGTCAAAAACAGCCAAAAGTCTAATTAGGCCTCAGATTTCAGCATCAAGGCAGCCTCACTTGTTTGTGTGCCTTTTCCTTTCTGTCTTCTGTTAAATGGATGTTTCTTTTCACCCCCAGAAAACATCAAATCTTACCTTAATCCCAAAATCATCCCAGCCCAAATGAAATAAAACATTCAACGGAGTGAACAAGAGACTCCACGTAGAGCCTAATTTTAAGCTGTTTTCACTTGGGAAAACTATGATTTTTTTTTTTCCACTTTCCTGAGGCTTACTGTTCCTTTTAGAGTGTGTATTATGACCACAGTGGACAGGAAAACCTGCATTCAATACAACAACCATCACTGACATGAGGAGATCTGTGGTGACTCAGTGTGTCCTTAATACCAGCTTCAAAGCATTCATCAAGCCTACTTATCTCAAGGCCAATTTGGAATGCCACCTGCCCACCCCTCTCGTCACGACTGTCCCACTTAGATGGAAACCTACTAATACTTTGGATCCCAGCAGGACTGTTTCTACCACAGTAATCTTGCTCATTTAATTCCAGGAGCACGAACACACATTGGCAACTCAAGAAGCACACACAAAGTAAAAATGTCTTTAATCGGGCATGTCTAAAAAAGTCTCCTCTGCTCAGTTAGTATTTTACGTAAGTTTTACAAATGAAGGTTGCTGTTATGTACTGAGGGGTCAGAACTGACTCACAGAAAACCCTGCAGCAGATTTTCAGAGGCTATAAATTGCAGGGGAGGAGGCTGTCCATCTTCCGTGGAACAGCTGGTGGATTCAAACCTCTTACCTTTGGGTTGGCAGTACAACTCCTTAACCAACAGACCACCTTAAAATTTGTGATTTTAAGTGAATATCTATTTAATATTTGCTTTAACAACTATGTGTACATTAGCATGAAGGTAAATGTTTTTAAGTGATGAGTTATTCAAATCCTAAGGGAAGAAAAAGGCCTTAGTTGAACAAAATGCATATATTTGCCTATTTAAATGTAGAAACATAGGTCTTAGGACATGGTTATATTATTCTTTTATTTTTTTAAGTTTATTGTTTTTCATTTTTTTGTGTTATACTATTCTAACTGTTGTTGTGAGAGGTCATCCAGGCAACTATGACGCATAGTGACCCCAGAACCACCTGTTGGAATCTTGTCCTATGTTACACCATCTTCGTACTCTCCACTGTGCTCAAGTCCATCGGTCACTGTGCCAGTTCATCTTGTTGAGGGTCTTCTTTTCTTTGGTTTACCCACTGTTTTTCCCTGTGTGATGTCTTTTTCTTTTTTTTTTTTTTTTTGCAAGTTTTATTTTATTATTTGTGCGTGTGCGTGTACCGTCAAATCAGATCTGACTGGTACAGGAGGAGATTGTCCCTCCTTTCCCAGCAGAGCATCTGGTGGATTCGTACCGTGTTCCTCTGGGATTGCAGTGCAGCTTCTTGCCACTAGGCCACCAGAGCTCCCGGCGTGATGTCTTTTTCAAAGACAAGCTTTTCTTAACCAGATACTCAAGTAAGATGAAGTTTCAGCATCCTTGTTCTAAGGAGCACTCTGGTTGCAATTCTTCCAGGACAGATTTGTGTATTCTCTTGGCAGTCCATGGTATACGAGCTCTGGTGGCTGAACAGTAGGAGTTGTGCTATGAACCCAAAGGCAAATGGTTCTAAATCACCAGCTGCGCCCTAAGAGAAAAATGCACAATTTCCTCCTCTGTGATTTTCAACCTCTGAAAACTCAATGGAAGGTCAGCCACAAGTCAGTTCTGACTCAAAGACACACAAGAACAACATGATGAAATATAGGAATTATAAGAATAAATGAACAAAAATGTTTGGAGTTGGGGGAGAGCAAGCTGTGAAAAAGGAAGAGATGGCTCATGGAAGAGTATGAAAAGTAAATTACATGAGTCAGCAGCTCAAATGGAAGCAATAACTAGAGAAGTATTCACAGATAAAGTCTTGGCAAAATAGTAATTTTTTAAAATTGGTTTACTTACAATTATTTATGCATACTGTGTTTTCTACAATCATTCATGTAAATTATATTTTATATAAGCAACTAATATTGATATATATTTTATACAGATGATACAACCTTGCTTGCTGAAACTGAGGAGGAACTGAAGCATTTGGTGTAGAAGGTCAAGGACTGCAGTTTACATTGTGGATTGAAGCTCAATATCAAGAAAACAAAAATCTTCACCACTGGTCCAGTTGTCAGCATCATGATAGATGGAGAAGAGACTGAGATTGTTAACAATTTCAGTTTGCGTGCTTCCACAATCAACACTCTTGGCGCTAGCAGTCAGAATATCAAAAGACAAATTGCATTTGGAAAATCTGCTGTCTGGGACCTCTCCAAAGTGTTGCAGAGCAAGGATGTCAGTCTGGAGACTATAAACTGTGCCTGATACAGTCCATGGTCTTCGCAATTACTCGCTATGAATCAACATAGCTTAGCTGGACAATGACTAAGGATGACAGAAGAAGAATTGATGTGTTTGAGCTGTGTTGCTGGAGGAGAGTACTGAACATAACCATGGACCACCAAGAGAACAAATAGGTCTTCCCAGAGAGGGTGAAACCAAGTTGCTCCTTGAAGGCAAAGATTTGAAGCTTTGTCTCATATACTTTGGGCATGTTGTCTGGAGGAATCAGTCCTTGGAGAAAGACATCATGCTTAGAAGGGTGGAGGGACAGTGCAGGAAAAGAAGATCCTCAATGAGATGGATTACCATAATGGGGACAGGTGTGTCAGATACAGTGGAACTGGCTCAAGATAGGGCAGGCTTCAGAGCTATTGAGCATAGGATCACTATGAATTGCAAGAGACTCGATGGCACATAACAACATATGCTTATTATCCTCCCTTCTGTTCAAGTTCTCATGGAATCTATCATATTCATTTACAAGCCACTCACATCCACTAATGTCTACTATCTTACTGATTTTTCCTCTTTCACTTCTTCTGTGCCTTTTCTGTTTTTTCCCTTTTGAAAATTCATACATGTCTCGTGAAGATTTCTACCATTTTCACAATAGTGGTCTTACAGTGTTTGTCTTTATGTGACTGAGCTATTTAACTCAGCTTAATATTCTCTAGTCTCTTCCAAGTTATGTGATATTTTATGAAATCATTACTCCTTATTGTTGCATGGAATTACATTGTGTGAATATACCACAAGTTCTCAATCTGTTCATTTGTTGATGGATATTTTTACTGTCTCCATTTTCTTGCTATTATTAATGATGCTGCTATGAACATAGGTGTACAGAATTCTTCACATGGGACATGAAGTAGGATTTTACCATTTCCTGGTTGTACAATACTTGTAGAGTCACTCTGTGGAGCAAGCATAACCCTAATACCAAAACTATGCAAAGATTTCACACACACAAAAAAGAACTCTGTAGATTAATATATCTCATGAATATTGATGCAACAATACTTAACAAAATCCTAGTTAATTGAATCCAAATGTATATAAAAAATATTCATTTGTTATACCAAGTGGGATTCATAACAGGAATGCAGGGATGGTTCAACATAAGAAAAACAATTAATGCAATTCATCACATTAGCAAAGCAAAAAACAAGAACAAAACATAAGGGAAGAAAAAAGAGAAGCTATGTCTCTGAAGGTCTCAAAATGAGCCCACCTTGCACATATTTTATCCCAGGTAATCAGAAGAGATAATCCTCTCTAAAAAACCATGAACTGAGTCAACTTGAGATGTCAAGGTAACCTGGTGGATGAGCATGACCAGCAGTGACATATGATCCTATCAAGAGATGCAAAAAAGACTTCCGACAAAGTCCAATACCCTTCCTCATTAAAACAGTCAGCAAAATAGTGATAGAGGGGAATTTCCTTAACATAGTGAAAAGTTATATACATCAAACCAAATTTACATCATACGCCATGGGAAGAAACTAAAGGCATTCCCCTTGTGAAAAAGGACTGGTCCCTGACAAGACAGTCTCCTATCCCCACTCCTGTTCAATAATATATTGAAAGTTATAGTCAGGTCAAGAAGGCAAGAAAAGGAATTAAGATACAACTGAATTGGCAATAAGGTGGTAAAGCTATCTCTAAAAAGAGCTGATATAATAATGTAAACAGTAGACCAATTTAGTAGAGTTCCATGTTACAAGATCAACAAACAAAAATCCATTGGACTTCTCTATAGTAACAAAGCATGAAAAAGGAAACCCAAGTTACTGTAGTCAACCCAAAGGTTATACATTTAGGAATAAACCTAACAGGAGATACAAAGGACTCTTATAAAGAAAACAACAGAACACTACTACGAGATATAATAAAGATCTAATTCAATTGAAAAACATTACCTGTTCCTGAATAGGAAGACTGATGCAATAGCTGCAATGATCTGATCAATATAGCAATGACTGAGAGGTGCAGAAACAGGAAGCATTTTATTCTGTTGTACAAAGGGTCGCCATCAGTCAAAATCAACACAATATCACCAAACAACAGAAACTCCCAGCTCAAGAGCCTTGGTATCGTTATGAAGTTGACAAAATGATAATATACAAACCCCAGAACATTGCAGGCTCTAGAGACTCCCCAACACAGTTTTCATCTTTGTAGATGGCAACGTGCTTCCCTTTCATGACACCAGAGAAAGAGCTGGAGTAGGTTAGAGAATCACACTGTCTTGTGATCCCTAATTTGCTGGCTGTATGTCTTCTAGGAAATCTATTTCCTGTTCATGAAAATAAAACCAAATAGTGTTTTTATGTGCTGTCAAATTGGAACTCACTCACAGCTTATCCTCCACTGGGGTTTTCAAAGGTGATAAATTTCAAGAGAGGAGACTGCTCATTTTTCTCCCTCAGAACATCCAGTGGTTTCAAACCATCTGCTGAGTTGGCAGCACAGCACTTTACCACTAGGCCACCTGAGCTCCCAAAATAATAGTAGCACCTATATATAGTACATAAATCCAAACCCACTACTATTAAGTATATTTCAACTCAGGTTTCAGACACTGTAAATAATGATAGCTTCAGGCAACTTCATCTTTGCCCTGTGGAGGAGCTTGTAGATTCAGATCAAACCTTTCCATTAGCAGTCCAATAATCATGCCCTCACAACTCCCTGACATTGAAGAAGGAAGACCAAAAAAGAATTGAAGCTTTAGGTTGTGATGTAAAGAAAATTAATATACCAAAGACTATAAAAAGGACAAACAAAGCTGTCTTGGAAGAAACGCAGTCAAGAGTTCTCTTTAGAAGCATGGATGGAGAGACTTCATCTCACATATGCTGGTCATGTTCTCAGATGAGGATAGTCCCTGGAGAAGGACATCATGTGTCAGCAAAAATAGGAAGCCTCTCAATGAGATGAACCAATACAAATGCAGCAACAATGCATTTAAGCACAAAGAGACTGTTGAGCTTGGGGACAGCTTTATTCTAGGGTACACGGGTTGCTGTAAGTCCACTCAATAGAACATAATAATAACCTATTGCATACAATAATTATATATTCAGTACACATATTTTATATCTTCTTGAGAATATTAAATGGAGGAAGCATATAAAACTTAACATGGTGCCTAAAATCAGTTGCTACTGAGTCAATTCTGACTTATAGAGACCTTATGAGCACCAGACTAGAACCAGGCTCCAATGGCTGATTTTTCAGAAGTAGACTTCCAGGCCTTTATTCTGAGGTAATTGTGGGAGGACTCAGCATTCAACTGATCAGTTAGTAATGGAACATGTTAACTATCTTCACAACACAGGGGCTCTAACATGGTACTTAATATGTAATAAATTCTTAATGAAGAAATAGTGAATACTCTTTCTCTGTTGCCTAGATTCATCATTCTTTCTCATACTTCTTGTCTCTGGGCATATACATGAGGATATGATTATTATTAAAAATTATTTTAAATCTTTGGAAATAAATATGAAAGAATACAGAGTAATATTACTTTTAGAGAGCAAATACATACTTAATTAAAGGCAAGTTGTTTAATATTGTTCTCACTCAAAAAGACTACTTATCCCAGGCTGTCTGATTGCTCAAGCTTATAGACACAAGGAAAGAGAACAGAGAAGCTACATTTGCGAAGGTCTCAAAAAGAGCCCACCCTGCACATACCTTATCCCTGGTAATCAGAAGAGACAATCCACTCTAACAAACCATGAACTAGGTCAACTTGAGAGGTCAAGATTGCATTGCAGATGAACATGACCAGCAGAAACTTGAAGGAGAATTCATGTTGTTCTTTGAAATATATATGGTCACTCACCCAAACATTTGGGGCAGCACTGTCCTGGGGGAATGTGACTGAGATGCTGAGGACAGGAGAGAATGGGACAGACTTCTCTCATGCACTGTGTCCTGCCTCCCTAAAGAAGAGAGAAGGGGGAAAAGGACACTTAGAAAAGTAAGTGCAAACATATAGCATATCTAAGACATGCAAAACACACCTCAAAACCTCTACAATATCATGTAAGTAAGGACTGCTCAAGGCCATGCACTTCCTCCCACGCATCCTTTAATTTTCCCTGCAGACCTTAAAAACGTGGCCCTTAGAGAGCAGATTTCAACAGTACATTCCACTCCCCACCTTCGACCCACCACCATCTTTTATCATCATTTTTCCCACCTCAATACTGGCGCTGGAGCAGGTCTAGGGGAAACTACTGCTGTAGTTTAACTGAGAGAGATGTGGGACCTTCAGTATTAAGATTGTTTAAGCAAAAGATAATCAAGCCCACAGTCATGGAATCAATTCTAACTCATGGTGATGCTCCATCAGCTCTCTGATATGGTAAATCTTTTTTTTTTATTTTTTTATTTCAATGAACATTTACAGAGATTCTGGGTTTCCATTCATTCCTTGTTGCATTTTTCTCCCCACCCACCCTACCCCTACCTCCAGTTCGCTCTTCTCTTTGAAAAGTAAAAGAAAAATTCCTTCATTGGTATACAATCCCCCCATACCTGCCCACCCCCACCCCAAGTATACTCCACTCTGCAACCTTCATTCCAAAGTCTTATGATAATCATAATGCCCTAAAATATATTCCTTTTAAACTATTCTCTCCCTCATCAGTTTCAATGCAGTATACATGATTCAACCAGTTTTTCTCATTCTTACCCCTGATGTCAGTCCCATTCTACAGCAATAGCACTATGCAGTTTTTGCCCTTTTCTGACTGAGATATTTCACTCAGCATAATGTCCTCCAGGGTCACCCATTTTGAATAATATTGCATGAGTTCCTTATTTTTCAATGCAGTGTAGTAGTATTCCATTGTGTGAATATACCACAGCTTCTCTATCCATTCATTTGTTGATGAGCACTTAGGTTGTTTCCAACTCCTTGCTATTGTGAACAAAGCCCCAGTAAACATGGGTGAGCATATATCTGCTTGAATGGTGGTTATGGTCTCTTTAGGGTATATTCCCAGTAGTGGAATTGCTGGGTCAAATGATATCTCTATTTCCAACTTTTTGAGAAAGCGCCACACCACCTTCCACAGGGGTTGCACCATTTTACACTCCCACCAACAGTGAATAAGAGTTCTAGCCTCTCCACAACCCCGCCAGCATTTGTTTCTTGCTGTTCTGTTAGATTTTGCTATTCTTACTGGGGTGAGATGATATCTCATAGTTGTCTTGATTTGCATCTCTCTTAGAGATAGGGATTTCGAACATTTCTTCATGTGCTTGTTGGCCATCTGAATGTCTTCTTTGGTGAAGTATCTGTTTATATCCTGTGCCCATTTTTCTATTGGATTATTTACCTTTATCTTGTTGTGGTGCTCAAGTGTTTTATAAATTCTAGATATAAGTTCCTTATCTGGCATGTCATTACCAAACACTTTTTCCAAGTCTATGGCTTCCCTTTTTACCCTGGTGGAGAAGTTTTAACAGCAGGGAACTGTCTCATCTTTCTCCCATGAAAGACCCGTGGCAAGTTCCAACTGCCACCCTTACAGTATATACCGCATTAGGCCATCAAGGTGTCTTAAAATAGCGCAAGGCAAATTGGGTTGGTGACGATACTAGAAGGACTAGCAGGCGAGACTTCTGGATGAACTTGTGGGGCTGCAAATATTTATACAAGTCGTTCTAACCCTCAGCACATGGACCTTTTGCACTAGTCTAATTGTCCGCCCCATTAAGGTCCTTCCTGTGCTCCTCCGTATATCTCTGTCTCTGGAATAAGAAGGTACAGCAGGCCAACTCTCTCTTTCCTTTGATGGAACACCACCACAAGTGTATTCCAACCCCACACGTGCCAGAGCAGAACTGTGCACAATTTTCAGGGGCTGTTTTTTGGAAATACACCACCAGGTCTTTCTTCAACGGTGCCTGTGGATGGATTTGACTGTCCAATCCTTCAATGAACAGTTTCCCCTTTTTGGGAGCTCAAAGATTCCCCCTTAACAGAAGCATTTGTTTTATTCAGCCTCAACAATTTGTAGCTGCATATTGAGAAAGCTATGTGGGGAAGTGGAGGGTGAACTTTCCAGTGGATTTATACCTAAAAACTTCACAAGACTGATGCGAAAACTATACCAGGCAATATGATTTGTTATGAACGTTATGAATCATTAAGATCATTTTTTTAAATTGATGAACTTAATTAAATAGACCACCAACCCCCACAACTAACTTCACAGCCATGAAGTAGATTTTCACTCATGATATCCCACCATTAGACTTCTAAGGCTGTAAGTCTTGGGGGAAGGAGAATTCCCATCTTTCTCCTGTGAAGTGCAGCTATTGGATTTGGGCAACTGACTTTTCTATTAGCAATGTAATACTTAACATACACCACCACCATAATTCCTGAAAATAGTTCATTCAAAAATAAAACCCCAACAGGTGTGACTCAAAATGACCATGGGGATGTACAAGGCTGTAAACCTTAATGGGAGGAGGCCGCCTGCCTCTCTATTGAGAAAGCTCTGGTGGCCTCTGTGAGGTCTGGACTAGAAACTAATGTCCTGGCCTCTAAGTACTTGTTACTGTTACAAATCACTGCGTCAGAACCATTTCTTAGCTTATCCTTCAGCAGCTAAATGGCAGGGAAGGAGACTGACTGCCCATCTTGCTCCCGTTGAGAAGTTGGTGGATTCAAACTACATGCTTTTGGGTTGGCAGCACAACTCCACACCACTAAGCCAGTAGGTACTAGTTTACTCAAATGGGTATTTCATATTTCAAGAGGTCTCAAGGAATGAGTAACTCCCATCTCCAAGAGCTCTGGACCCCACAATGGAAAGATTCCCTCAGGGTCCTTCCTTACACCTTTACCACTTTGTGTCTCAAGCACTAAGAGCCTGAATGGGCAACTACCCAGGACCCCACCTTGTGTTCTTGCCCTCTCTTCCTACTCTGGCCATTCTCATTATTTCTGTTTATTTTCTGGTGGGAAAGCCTAGAAAAGAAGGGCATGTTACATGTCTTTTTAAATATTTGTTCTTTTTAAGCCTCTTTAATATTGGATTCTACCCTAAACCAAAAGAGAACAGGCTACAATGCCACAAAAGGCTCTTGTGTTGTTTTTACATTATTTCCAGATCTGCAAGAATCACTAAAACTCTCCCAAGACTGACTCTCAGGCTGGTCTGAGAGTCTTCACTCAGCTCTACATAATCTTAATAATGTTAGGAGGCCTTTCACCAGACTTTAGAGGAGGAAACCCAAGTCTAGGTCAGACCCTGAGGTTTGTTCCAGTTTATACATAAAACACAGGAGTCAGATCTGATGGGAGGACTAGAAGCTGCCCTTAGCTTTCATTTCAAAGAATTCAGTTGCAAGCAACTTCCTAAACTCTCAAGGCCTCAGGCCACATGAGATAGCCTGTGTGTTGGCTACTCTTAGGTGCACAGAGAGCACCTTCTTTTCACTGATAAGTCTCTGTTCTTCTTGGGTCACCATCTATTTTGCAAAAATACTTTAAAACCGCAATTTTTAAATCATGCATAATTGCAAAGGAGTTAACTTTTTCAACACTCTGCAAAGCTAACAAAAAAAAAATGTGTGCACTCCAGCAGTTTTCCTTACAGTAAGGTCAAAGAGCACATTTTGCATACATAATACAACTGCAGTCTGTGTCTCCCCAGAGTCAGTTAAAGTAACTTGAACCCAAGCTGGATTTGCTGGCTTTGTCAAGTTTTATTTTGTTTGGGTTGTAGCATTGTGGTGTAGCCCAAGTCCCTAGGCCGGATTCCAATTAATACCTCCAAAAACAGGCCAAGGCTTTTCCCAGGAACACAACTGCAGCTCACAACCTGCGTCTATGATTTCAACTCAGCAGGGACCTCCTCTTAAACTATAAGCTGAAGCTATGCTGTAAACTAAGGAAGTTAAAATAGCAGAAGTAAACATTTCTGTTTCTAAAACGGAGCCAGCCCTTCTGCGACTGCGGCAGCCCAGGCTCTGTAAGATTAGCACAACAGCTATCTGATTCACTTCTCTGCATCAATTTTCTTCCACTAATCCATCCTCTAGGTCATATAGCCCTGATGTGTCCACGTGCCATACAGCGGTAACTTATGGTTGCCATGAGACTGAACACTGTGACACTGATGTGCCAAATGCATTAATGGTCAGTTACCCAATGCGGACAGAAAGTGGGGTGGAGCTACCTGATTAAAACAAGCTTGGAAGGAGTGGCATCCACTTCCATAAAAGCTTGCCTCTGGAAACCCTATGAACCTGGAGAGAGGATGAGAGACACCCAAGCGTCAAGGACTCTCCTTCATAGGGTCGCTATGAGTCGCCTGAGACTTGACAGCACTTAACAACAACAACAACAACACAACAATCCATCCTGGAAGGTTCAAGATGGATTTCTTTGCAGCAATCACCCACCATTTCATTATTTAAAAAAAAAATATCCCCTCCCACCCACCATTAGGTGTTTACATCTTCAGTTGTCAGTGTTATCAGTGAATCTGTGTACACCAAAATACACTGCCTTTTTATCTTGGACACCAAGCTAGATTTCATTTCTCAGCCACCTTTACAGTTGAGTGTGGGCATATATGTAATTTAGAGTCAATGAGAGATAAAGAGAAATAATATAATTCACTCTAGGCTTGAGGAATAAAAATCTTATACTCGCAATCTTCCACACTTTGAATCTCTCCCGCCAGTGATGCCAACCAGCTGAATGAAGAAACTTTCTCATAAAAACTCATTGCCATTGAGTCAGAACCAACTCACAGCTGACCCTCCAGTGGGTTTTCAGAGGCTATAAATCTCTCGGGAGGAAACTGTTTCTATTTCTCCATCAGAGCAGATGATGGATTTGAACCACCTGCTGTAAAGTTGGCAGCGCAAGTCCCCACCTACTAAGTAAACAGAGATCCTTATAGAGACATCT